AATGTCCTACATAACTTCATACACACGCGTATAAGTCTTAATATTTGGGAAGTATAAACAGATATAAAATTACAAATTTTATATGATCTCATATTGCATTTCTCATCTCTACGTTTAAAGCTATGACCTTTTTCCCTGCGCAAATTATATTTATACTGCTTTATAAGTACTGTAATGTAATGTAGTAATAAGTCTGTTTTTTATTGTTGCACTTTCTGAACTGGTACGTAGTACAATAAGTTGAAGTGAAACAAATATACGTTTGTTTCACTTCAACTTATTGCACCGGTTCAGAATGCAGCAATAAAAAAACATATTTAATGTCACATGAGAGGCTCATTACAAACAGAAATATAAAATAGTCATAATCATATGCAGAGAATATAACCATAATTTATTACGTAACGTGTTATTCTAGAAATGCAAATTAGTCGACATTTTTTTCCGAATTTAATATCGACTTTTCTTGTAATAAATACAATACAAAGAACATCGTGCTTATATCACGTTAATCTTACACTGCCATATAATCGATATTGTGTTGCATCTTTTTGAGCTGGTCAAGAATCCTTTAACAATCTTAATGCTAATGTTATAGCGCTATTAAACTTCAAACATAGTGTAATCACGTCATTTAAACAAACATGAAACTCATTGAGGCTTTCCTGAGTAAAGGTGCATTATCTAGCAAAGCGTAATCCGAATGCTCGTAATGAATTCTTTGTGCAGCGAGCAATGCCTCGTATATAATGACGCGAATGCGTCCCAGAAAGCATTGTTGATTTTAACGTAAACAAGCATTTGTAGTAACAAGATCGCATTTCGACGAGAGATCGCGACAAGAATCGGCTGGCAAGAATAAAGGGAGATTCTCTTTTCATAGAATGAACACGCTATTTGTCTCTTTCGCTGGCAACAAAAGGAGGAAGAACCGAGAGACCTTGCAACTTATGCACACCCGTTGGAAGCTGCGACGGTATAGATGAAGCAAAGAAGCACTACCGGAAAAAGTAGTCCAGAGACATTCATCTTCCTGAATAAACACGAACATGGAAGACAACTGACTTGTAACGATACTCTGCTCTCTTCTCCCGCTGAATCCCTTTTTCTCCTCCTTTACCATCTTTTGTCGCTACCTATCAGTCCGATCGCGACCGCCTCCTTTTCTCCATCGTCGTTCTGCATCAGACCATTCGATAAGAGGCCAAGGAAATTTCGTCCGACCTCGTCTCGTTCAAACGAGATCTCCCCATTTTTCTCCGACCAGATCGGCCGTCGTGACGAATACCGCCTTTCATCGTGACTGGCGGAAATGGCGGCATGGAAAATCCGTCGTAAAGCTTTATGCGATTTCAGTGTCCTTCGGACAGTAAGAAGGGCGTGCGGGCGGTGGGATGAAAGGTGCCGCTGGTAAAGAATCGACGACACGTAAGAGGATAGTATGAGATCGGACGCGCGTTGCAGCGAATACATCGCAGGAGAGACGAGAAAAAGGCGACGGAAGATGCGACAGCGAGAAAATAATGGCACGGAGGAAATCGAGAAAGAGAGAGGACCGTGCGAGAGGAGAGATCATAGCGCGAGAAATGAAATCCGAGTGAATGCAGAAAGATGAAGAGAAGTATTGTGGAGGTGATCGAATCGAACCGGCGAAAGAGAATTGAGAGGAGGAAAGAAAAAGTAGTGAGCGGCGTTCGGCGGGTAGTATATCAGAAATTTATGGAAAGGGCAAGAAAGAGGGCGTAAAATGATACAATCTGACAGAGGAAGTAGAGAGTTATAAATCTAGAAGTGTCTTATAAATGAACAAAAACATGTTATAGAAAGCTATTACACACGCGGAAATTCAGTCTGTTTGAATTACCGTAACTAATTGTAAGTTATTTTTAAGTTTTTGCGATAGTATATGCGATAGTATACGCGAAATAATGAGAGAAGTTGATTGTCGAACTTTGGAGACTTATCCTCCTAATTACTTCAAGGTTAAAGAAAAAAGAGAAAATATGTGGTCGTAGATTTGGAGAAATGTTGCTGGAAGAAACAATTGTGCAACAAAAGGTAATAAAAACTTGATAAACATTATACGCACTTTAGCCAGTAAGATATATTGTAACAGGTTAACTTATGATTAACCTGATGTTTCATTCGATATCATCATAGATGAAGCCCATTGGATAAAACATCAGGTTAAGCCTAACTACAAGTTAACCAGAAAATGAAAAACTGGGTCTTAACAATTTTTGTAAAAGTGATGAAAATTAATACGTAATAAGACGGGACACGAACGACCCATCAGATTTAATTTTTGTGTGTAATGAAGGACTGGAAAATCATGTACACAAAGGAATGTTATATACAGTCGATATATAACATTATGCAGACGTTATTAAACGTGCGTTATTATTATTATACAACTCTCAATATTATTCAGCGCGTTTGTACGCACGCTTACATAGCAGGCCGCATTGCTGCGTAGATTTTTAGTATGTATCGTACTGTTGATCAATGAGTGAACATATATTTACAAGTGTTTATGAGCGCCTGCAAAATCCAGTACAAGATGTATGAGTACGTTCCATTTGTCCCATGTACACGTGAACAATTCGCTATTCGCGTCTAAAGCTATCGGCCTATTGGTAATATCGTTTGTTAGCGTAGTTTGATCATCGTGCTCAGTGATACGCACACACATACATATATATGCACGCGTATGTACAAGGTATCAAACAGTTCCTAGTTAAAATAGCGTTGTTCGATTATGAGATATAAGCGGCAGGAGCGAGATAGATACAAAACGCGGAAGCAAATACGGATAATTTAAATATGCTTTAATTAAAGTCGGCATTTTTGCGTTTCTATAACGGTATATCGGTATAACTGTACATTGCAGTATTTTTGTTTTTTTGTTTTTTTCAAAAAAATAATTCGGTGAAAAAGGCTAACGATTACGACTCGCAATGTCGTTTTGCACAGCGAGTACAATGGAAGGAAAGCGAAAACGTTTAATATCTCGCGTCCACATATCGATGATTTATTTTTACATTGGGAACATCGCATGCCATTATCGAATGTAATAGATTTCATGAAACTTTCTGCTTTAATACGATTGCGTCAATTGTCGCAACGTTTTGGACAATAGTTCTTCGCGTTGTGCGTCCATTGAGAGAATACGCAAATAATATTTAGATTTTATTATTTCATAATTGAAAATTATGAAAATATCTTTATGAGAGTATTTATATATATTATTAACTTTTACGGGAAAAGCCATTATAGCGACACTGAAATAGTGTATTTTGAGGCAAAAAATACAATAAAATAATTGTAATGAATCTTATATAAGGAAATATTGTAAGATTTAAAAAATACACCCTCTTTAGAGTTTAAACAGTGCAGCATACAAACTCTATAATTTCACATTTAATCTGAATGTCTGTTCAGAAAATCTTGTAGATGAACTTGTCCATCTACAAGATTTTTCAGAAACATCTTAATTTTTTAAAATTCTGTTTTCGGCAATTAATACCCAAGGATCTTAAATCCACCGAGGCAAAGTATGAGCCAAATCAGTTGATCATAAAGGGATGAAAGGTCAATTTTAACGAAGTTCTTTCAACAATCTTTTCTAACAAGTTTTTTGCTGCACTGCTTACAAGGAAAGGAATTCAAGTGTTCTCCTCCGATTTTTTGATGAGCATTTAATATGTTGTTTTGTAGACAAAGATAAGGAACACTTTTTTTATACGTGCTCTGTCGCACTTTTAAGAGATGATACACCTTTTAGAAAAAAAATGGTTTTTTCTTTCAAAGCGAATACCATCGAAACTACAAAAAATAGAAAAAATGTTTCAAATAAAAGTGAAACATAGTTTCAAGAGTATTTTATAATAACAATTTAAAAAATTTTGTTTAAATAAGAAAATGTTTATTTATAAAAAAAAATTTTTTATAAATTTTGTTAAATTATAATTATTAAGTTCTCTTAAAATCATTCAATTATTACTTCAAATATTTTTTCTCTCTCTTATAGTTTTAATGATATTTATTTCAAAAGAAAAATGATTTTTTTTAAAGGGTATTCACCTCTTAAAGCTGCGATAGAACTCGTATAAAAAAGTGTCCCTTTTCGATTTTAAAACAACATATTAAAAGTTCATCAAAATTAAAACAGAATACTTGAGTACTTTTCCTTGTTAGTTATATTTTTTGCAAAGACTTTATTGTAATTTTTCAAAGTGTCACGTTTAATCGAGTAGAATTATCGCAATATATAAACTTTATTAATTTTATATTTGTTATGAGGAGATGTCGCGTTTCTTGTGAAACTGATAATGAAATTATAATTATTTTACATAGTATCTTCCTTCGTGCGTCATGTGCATATTAATTACAACCAGACTGTCGTTGTACTACTTTGCAAGTAGTGACAAAACTTCGTAATCAGGAAGATGTTTACTTTCATAAAGAAATAATTAAAATGCAAATGCATGCTTGGAACTCACCGTCATAAAATATGAAAATAACTTCCGTGTGCCTTAAGATATGATAAAGCTATAACTCAATAAAAACTTGTTTGGAAAATCAGAACCAACAGAATAAATTTCAATTTCTTAATCGTTTAACTCTTTGCATAATTCTGTTTATGGAATAAAGTATCTGCGTTTCCTGAACGACAAAGAGAATGAACGCGAGTAGCAATTAAACCATCCTTAATTATTCATTTATAAAATGAGTTTGCATTTAAAAAATTTCTCCACTAACAATATTTAATTATACATGCATTGCTTGCTAAGTTGAATGGCGTGCCATTTTGAAATATTAAACCAATGTGTAACAATACGTATAAAAATATAAAGCTGTAATACATCGGATAGTTTAGAAATTATACAAGGATTATATAAAAAAATGAAAGAATATTGAGATCTAGAATTTTTATGGCATAGTCTACATTGCGGCTATTTTTCGCGTTTGTAACTGTATTTTTCGCGTTCACTCAACAGAAACGAGCAACGTTTTGATTTTTCTACCAGAACATTCGCTGATGTGCTTGAAGAATATTACGCGATCGTGTACGCGCGAGAGAACGGTGATCTGGTTCACTCTGATGCGGCATTGACGGTAAGCTGGCTGCTGGAAGGCCAGGTGATGGGACATACGACTCTCGACGGTGCGATCTTCGGAGCTTTGAAGCTTTGGGAGCACGATCGAAAGCCATCGTGTCTCCCACCGACTGCCTCAATGGCGTCGGATTGGATCAAAGAGGCTCGTTGGGAATAGGCATGTTTACGAAGTACATACGCCCGTGTATGTACTAGCCCACGGTATATTCGAGTAAACCGATCCACATCGATATCCGCCGATGCTTAAGAGGTTTAAACGGTATTGGTATTCGAAATCTCTTTCTCTTTCCCTTCTTCTCTTCCTCTTTTTGTCTCTCTCGCACTCTGTATTAATCTGCACGTATATATTTTCTTCTTTCCTTTACATCTTTTCACTCACAGAATAAAACTTACGCCGAAATCTCTTTCAGTATGATATTTTCAATCATATCATTGAAATAATATTGTTGCTTATGTATAGGTAATTTAATATAGTACAGTAAGATAATTGATATTTCTTATATAATTGTGCATATTATATAATATATAATTCTTGGATGAATAAAATAATGGAATTATCTAAATTTGTTTCCCTGTTTTGTTCTTTCTCTTCGACTTATAAAAAATTTATAATAAAAGTGTCACATAAAGTTATCTTTTATCTAATAAAATTTTTGTCTTTGTTTCAGGTATGTACGAAATGAAGATTTGCAATTGATTCATTAAGTAAGATGGTCCTATCTGGTGAGAGTTAATAATTATAATCTATATTTGTCTATTAATTTTAATTTATTACATCTATTATTACTTAGTTAATATTTTTACAAAGGTAATTGCAAATAAGGCAATATAACACTTATAAAAAATTGAGCGACAATAACCCAACCAATTTCAAAATATCTCAAGCGTTTTATTTGGAAAAAATACGTAATATATGTGCATATTTATGCTTTATTTATTTAAAATTGCGAATCAAGATTTGTACAGAAAGAAAGATACGTTCCTGGGTGACAAGCTGACATTATTTGTAGCCATTTTGAAATTGGTTCAATATGACATCGTTCTCTTATTTTAAAAGTGACACAATTTAGAAAATCTGATTTTCGAATTATTATTATTATGAATGAATTAAATAAACATTAACTTATCAATACATCAAAAAGTTAACTTCATTTTTGCAAAATTATCAAAAATTCTCATAACTTAAATAGATGTTTTTTTAAAACGAAAATGATAAAAATGACATTTGATTAAAGAATACATATTCTTTTTACGGTTATTGGAATAATCAATAATTTCTGTCATTGAAAAATAATTTTTCATCTTTTCTAAAGAAAAAAACAATATTTTTAGCTGTCACTTTTTAAATAAGGAAATGTCAAAACTCACAAGAACAAGTATATTCCAATAAACTCATTAATTAATCAGTAACTGATGGTATTTCACAAATTACTGATTCGTTAATTAGTTTATTGAAACACTTTTTGTCAAGGAAACAACAAATATTTTTTCAAATTATTACTTGACCAAATAATCTGATATTATTTGTTGTTCTCTTAAAAATTGATCAAAATAATAATATTGCTATTAATATACAATATGATTCTCCTGTGAATGTTGAGAATTTAGTTCAACCACGTTAAATTGGTCTAGTAAAAGTGGATGGTCTTTTTCCACTGCCATGAATATTTCTCAGGGGGACTCAATCTTTGAAAGAATTTTCTTATTCTTCAATAGATGTAAAAATGCTCGTAGAATGTAAAAAAGTGCTGCTGATTTGACATACAATGAGATACAAGAAAGCATATCGATTATCAAGTGAGAGACAAGTTCGACAATCACGTCAATCGTTAAATGAAACCAAATTTGACAATCACTGTCTCTGCGGCAAGCTCGATCGTCTTCCGCAACGAGAAGTGTTTTACGAACCTTCATCAGTGTCGATATCGAACACCAAGCATCGCTCGTATAACACATATTGATTTTTCCTCTATTCTCTATCCCGTAATCCTCCGGCTTTCTTCTCTCTATCTACTTCCCTGCGCGCGTGTTTTTCTCGACTTCCGGTTGATTGCCGGTTTTCAATTCCGCGTCGCGTTTCCGTTCGCTTAATCGGTTTTAATTACGGTATTAGGTAGCCTACGGAGGAAAACCGATCCTAGTTAGGCTGCCATTCATCGCACGATGCGGAGCTGATTCTCGCTTCATTTTGTCGAGTATTCGGCAGTATTAGTTTCCACGACTTGTCAATTTATCGCTTGTCGAATTCATTACGATTTCACGCATTCACTATGAACGTTCAAATATCTATCTGCGCAACTAAAGAATACTTCTTTTTTAAAAATTCAGTTGAATTTACAGAATAAAAATTTCTTTAATTATTGATATGAGAGAGAAAGAGAGAGAGAGAGAGAGAAAACGAGAGAAAAAGAAATGACAATAAAACAAATCAAACCATATAAAGTCTCTTTTTAAATATTACCAATCTTTCTCTATAACTTGCTTGATTTGAAATTTTAATTCTGAAATTGGATTATTTTAATACGCGAATAGCAAAAAAATCCTCAAACGTGCGACGTAGATAAATTCGCTGATATATATTTTTTAAAACTATTTTTAAAACTATTTTTTTCATTTGTAATTAAAAAAAATGCCATACTTCTTTCTTATATCACAAAAGCTATTTTTCGACGTACGATTGAATAAACATTTAACAAACGTTCTAAAATGTTTTATTGAACTTTTCTATGTTTGCTCCATTTTCGTTCGTTTGAAACGAGCTATTCAGTCGTCAATGTTCGACACAGTATCTCTGATAATGATTTTGTGAGTTGGGTAATGAGCTAAATTTTTTGCTTGCTCAGTGTATCAACAAAGCACGTAAAGAAAGGACGAACTGAATGCAATCAGTTTTTATAGTTTTTTTTTTACTAATGTTGTTTGTGCTAATACTGTTTTTATACTGAATATACGCTATTTTCTGCACGTGCTTTTTTTATAATCCTCTCGCATCGCATCGAATGTTCTTTCTGTGTATGTACATTCATGACACCGAGTAATACAATTCTCTGAAATAACAAAATGGATTATTTTATTGAAGATATCAGCTTATACATGTATACTTTAAAATACTTAAGATTTTTAGTTATATAACATTTTAGAATATAAAATCAATTTTAATCGTGTTACATTATTTAAATAATCGGAATTATTGATACTTGAATACATCTCATGTGGAAAACGCACGAATATAAAGGATTTTTCTGCAAAAAGAAATTATATCTGCTTTGCATATTCCATGTGAGAGCAATGTTTTTTATTAGTATAATCAGTTATTGATGCAAAATTTGTTTTATCAAAGAATTTTATTGAACAAATTGTATTAATAAAAATACAAATTTAATATGATATTTTCTGTTAACGATAAAGAATATTTAATTTATTATTGAAGTGAAATGTAACACGTATTTAGAAAATATTGTAATAAAATATTACTATTAATATATTAAAAATATTAATAAATAATAATGAAAATATTAATATTAAAATTATTACTGTAACAAGAATTATTATAACAAAATAATTGATGTAGTAATTATTTTTAGCAAATCTATTTGCCAGTAACTAATGATATTTGCAAGTAAATCTTTTTTTGCCTATTTCGATATTAATTATTTAGACTAATTATTTAGATTAATTGATCAAATCTCTCTGTATGTGAGTTTACACATTTTAGAATTATTTTACCACATTTTATAAACTCAACTACCTCATTTTGAAACCGAAGATCGAATTCCGCATTGCAGAATCTCGTTGTCACAAGCGAACTCGTAACGATATTTCAATTAATTGTGCTAACTAGCGTGATGAAGTTTGCTTTTCGTGCTATTATTTACATAATCAATTTAATGTGTTCTCTTTCACGATTAACTTTTGCAAACATTACTTATGTGAAATTAGAACAATCATACAAATACATTTAGCATATACAAAAACGCAATCAGTCCTGTTTTATAAATAACATCTCGAAAGATATGTTGCAGTCTAAGCAAATGCTGAACCATTTTTCTATGTTGTGCTTGAACAGAAAACACTATTGGCTCTTCTTTTCTCCTTCTTTTCTTTTATTCCTTCTTTTTCTCTCCGTTTCTAAAAATCAGACATATCACAAATCGCGTTTACCTGGCGTAACACTTTTGATATAAAAAAAAAGGTAAATAGAGACCTGCCAGTGCACGATTTTTGTACAGCACCGAATGTCTGCACAGTGTTAGCACCGTGTGAAAATATGTTTTCACTATGATACTGTATAGCGATTTGTTTTCGAGCTGGGACGGCCAGCTGTGAGAGAGAAATAGTATTGTTGCTTAAAAAAATATAACAGAATTGATTATAATCCTTTTTTCTTTAATATATATAAATATATAAAAATACATTATTGCTATATTATTACAACTAGTTACGGTACAATAATTAACGCTTTGTTTTTAATCAGCTCAGTAGTTATTTTTTTAATTCCGTTAACAATTTATTATTTATTTTTTGTATTTATAATAGAGATGAACAAATATGAATCGTATATTTTTTAACACTAGAAATATCGAGCAGTTATTGACCGTTTTTATTTTTCAGATCAATATTAATATTTTTTGTATAAAAAATAAAAGTCTGAAATGTTTTTCACTTTTTAATAATTTTTGATAATAAATTGTTTCCTTTATATTGATAAAATATTTGGTTTTTTATTACTTTCTTTATTTTCATAGCAATTTATTTGCTTAATTCATTTAGTGAGTTGGTACTTCTAGTATAAAATATTATATTTTAAATCTCTCTCTCTCTCTCTCTCTCTCTCTCTCTCTCTCTCTCTGTCTCTCTCTGTCTCTCTCATGATTAAGTAATGTTACTATTTAGTGTATTGTGCATTTTTTATATTTAAGTTTTATATATAATTTTCTCATTAAAACTGCATTTAATCATTACTTATATTTTTAAAAAGAATCTGTTTGCAATTAATTGAAAATCAGAACATTTTGGAATCTATTAAATTTTAGCTAAGATAACCAGAATTTTGATTGATTTGATTCGTTAATTTTTTTTAATCAGACGTTGTTTACATTGTGATCAGTAAGATTTAGTGATGAAACATTTAACTATCGATATTTGTATTACATCTAG